CCTTGAATAGCAAGAATGACCATCTATCTATTGCAAATGATCTACAGCGGTTTCTATCCTGCGATCTTTAAGATTGCCTGCCCCTATTTAAGCGCGTTCAAGTGACCCACCTAATATAAACATCGCCGAAACGTTGGGTTTTGAGATAGTGTTTCACGAACAACCTGTGAATGTATACAACAGAAAGGCCAAGGTTTCAAAGTAAAAGAACATATGGAAGTGATTTATTTTTTCTTGTATAAATGCCTTCCTAATGTTGACCCACGGCCGATATATTGCACACAGCAGAACACGCGACGCGCAAATGTGCTGCCTTCCGCTGCTTGACGTGATCGAGGGGAAGATGCATCAAGCTGGGTACTAGAGTGCGTTGCGTGTTAGCGCTGCTCGGACAATACAGTGCCGCTAGCTATCCTTTGGGAAGCACACTAATGTGACGACTCATTCATCCCGCACACTTGGTTATCCACTGATCACAGCAGGGAACACTTGCCTGTTCTTTTCAAGTTCTCAATTGTCTGATAGGATATCATTATTACATATAGAACCATGAAATCAACATTAGCCTGCACGTTTTTTCAAGACTTGTTGAACAAGAACCTTACAGATAAGCTCATCAAACCACCATAGTAGCTACTGAGGTTAAACCGTTATATTAATATTACAAGGGCTAGCTCCATTCTGTATGTAAACTCTCAAATGCAGCAAGTCAAGATCTCACCCTGATTAATTGAACCTGCTGCTGAAATGCGCAGCAATCATAAAACTCATAAAAATTGCGTGTAACTATGAATTATACAATCCGTTGATGGGTAACTAATTTACTCAGATAATAAACAACAAAGTAGATCAAAACGATTCAATAGAGAGATATTGTCTTCAACAAAGCAACAACCAAACAAGAAGTAACAACGGCCTTGCCAGTTGGTATTGGCCCAGAACAACAGAAGAGTAAAGATATGACAGTTTTCTAGTGTTTCGGCTTCTGCTTGAATGTAAATGCTTTTGGTCTTTTTCGATAGCCGGCTCCTGATAACTGCGACCTCACTTGGACCTAAACGAGATGTTATACTGGTTAATAAACCAGATAAGCAAAAACAGCCTTTCAAGCAATGCATTATTACACCTTACCATAAAGTACTTGCCAATCTATTTTGTGATACGAAAGCAAAATAAAAACTTTCGATAAACTAATTGGGAACTAACCTTCGGCTTATGTGATATTGGCAAATCCACAAATGGAGGAACCGAGAATCCAAATGATTTACATACCGCTATCAAATCCAGATTGTTAACATCAAAGATATCCTAAAGTAGACAGAATATAGTAGCTACCGTCATATCTTCTTTCACTTACTTTTAAAGAGTGTGAGTCATACGCTCTCACATAACACTTATAGGCTTCTTTAGCTGATTTATTCAAATAGTAATT